TATATATATATATATATATATACAATAATTATATATAGGAGAGAATGTTCTAAATTGGATCGTGTTCCAAATAGGATCTTTTTAATTTAAACGAATATAGTTAAGATTTGCGTATTATTTATAATGTAAAGTCCTTATAAGATACCGAACATGTGACAGCAGTTTGACAGTTCTCTGTCATAACGTTCTTAGAATAGACGCAAATATGTATTTTTAGTTATCGTGCAAAAATTAAAAAAAAAAAATTTGTAAATCATTATTTAAAAGACGTTAAAAATTCGGAAGATAATGGATTTAAGATAATTAAAGAATATAGAATTCAAAAATATCAAGCGTTTGACATCACTTTGGCGATTTATTGTCAAATTTGTTCTAAAAGTTCGAAAGGATCCGTCCAAATCGGACCTCTCTTTGAGTGTCCAAATCGGACCTACAGTATAGTAGATAGCAACAGGCATTTGTCCATTGGATCTTGACGTTTTCCAAGAAATTGATTTCCTGCCCAGTTCAACAACTGATGGCCAATCGAACGTAGCGAGATAAAAGTAAATTTGGACGAAACACTGCAATTTATTTGTACACTTCCAAAAGCGCCTCCACGTAAAAATATCGGTCGGGACTGGAAAAGACAACTATTTTAACTGATGATGCTGCAATTGCTATATGATGAAACTGCTATAGAGAAAGCAACGAAATAAATGCATTAACAAAAAAAAAACGCAAACGAGACCAAGAAACACTAAAAAGCCAAGTAAGATAGCTAATTCATCAAAGAAAGAAGACTCGCAACCTGATCATAGTACTGATGATCGACCGATCAGATTTGATTCTCAGGAACACTAAATCAATAAAATATCATGAGTCATCAGACTCATATTAATTGAATTTTTTATTGATTTCAATTCTAATAATATAAAGCTGTCAGCAATTTTTTTATAAAATCTTTATCTTTAACTATCAAATTGCTTTTTGCTTAATTCTAACAAAAATAAATTAAAATCTTATAAATTTCTATCTAAAAGTCCATAAAAATAGGAGGATCCGATTTGGAACTATTGGTTCCAAATCGGATCCTCCTATTTTTATGGATTTTTAAATATTTTTCATTATAGTTCAACACAAGTGAGAGATACATCAAAATGATCTGAAGTAAAAATGAAAAGAATTAAATGATGTTTCCAATTTATCTTTGATTTTATGATCGGACTTTATTTACGTCTTGTAGAGAACAAAAACTGCAAATAATAATAATAATAAATAGGTCTGATTTAGATCATTCTCCTCTATATAATTATATTTTCTCTGAAGAGCTTCTGAAGTGTGGTAACAATAATAAAAATAAATAAAGATAGTAACAAAAAACTTTTTACGATGCAAATAATATATTTTTTATATTTTAATATTTATTATTACTTACGTATCGTTTCCTTTATCAATTGTGTACGGAAATTTTATAAAACCTCTTTGCCGAGATACAGGTAATAGATTACCAGAAAATTTCATGTTTAAGATATAAAGGCCAGGTAATAATACATTGTTAAAATTCAGTGTCAAAATGTTCGTTACATTATTATGAATATGTTTCATCGGTTTATAAACCGTATCTTTGTCATTAATCAATGTTGTCGCTGTTTTATTTATTTCTAAATCTCTCGAATGTAAGCTTATTTTTGACGATTTATAACGAATCTCGATATTGACATTGGATTCACCGTGAAAAGTAAAGTTGCCTTCTTCGAGATACGGTGTCAAATTAATGTTATAATGAATAGGTATCGTATTGTTGGGTAAACGATCAATAATTTCTAAATTATTATCGATGCAAGAAACCGTTCTTGAGATCAATATTACGTCAATATTTAATAACAATTTTAGGAATCTCATGATTTCGATTCTTTCTTTACTTATAATCTACAATTTTTCGTTAAATGTGAAATAAATATAATATTATATAAAGTTATTGTATCTAAAGTTATTGTAATTTAATGTTAATTTTTATATTAGGTGTACAATTTTGCTTCCGCCGTTTTTTTCCGAAATTCGAGACTTTATTGTAAAAAACTGATTATACATTTATGATTCAAAGTATTGTCCATCGCTGGCCACTACTTTCTCCCATCTTTCGGGTAGCGTACAAATTCCGTGTCGAAAAAACTGATCATCTTTTGAGGCTATCCACGAATCGATCCAATTTTTTATTTCTTCATAAGACCGGAAGTGTTGGTCAGCCAGGCCATGTGCCATTGATCGAAACAAGTGATAGTCAGAGGGAGCAACGTCTGGAGAATACGGCAGGTGGGGTAGGACTTCCCATTTCAACGTTTCCAAGTATGTCTTGACCATTTTCGCAACATGGGGTCGAGTATGCTGCAAAATCACTTTATCGTGTTTCTCGTTGTATTGCGGCCGTTTGTCTTTCAATGCTCGGCTCAAACGCATCAATTGCGTTCGATACCGATCGCCTACGATTGTTTCAATTGGTTTTAACAGTTCATAATACACTACGCCGAGCTGGTCCCACCAAATACAGAGCATGACCTTGGAGCCGTAAATATTCGGTTTGGTCGTCGACGTGGAAGCATAGCCGGGAACTCCCCATGATTTTCTGCGCTTGGGATTATCGTAATGAATCCATTTTTCGTCCCCAGTCACAATGCGATGCAGAAATCCCTTCCGTCTTTGCCTTTCAAGCAGCTGTTCACAAGCAAACAAACGCCGTTCAACATTTCTCGGCTTCAATTCGTACGGCACCCAATTTCCTTGCTTCTGAATCATTCCCATGGCTTTGAGGCGTTTTGAAATGGCTTGTTGA